TAAGACCAGTATATCTAAATATTGATGTTGCATGTTTAATCTTAATTCATCGATATGCTTGGGTAAACTTGCAATGTTTAGAAAAGCAATTTTGAAACCTCTGTGTTTAGGTAAGTTGAAATCAGTTTGTTTGTGGGTATTAGAATCGCTTTTATCAACATTAGAAAAAGTTTGGTTAGACATACCCGTCGCTACTAATCAATGATTAATAATATAAGAAGAGATTGATTTAGCAATAATGACAGTACCTTTCTTGTTCAAGTAGAGTCCTTTTGAATTCAGACAGGTTGCATTAATGGCTTTATGGTTAATATAGCCCCATTTATTTTGGTCGCAATACTTTTTCACGATGTCATTGACTTGACTAGCTTTAATTAGTAGATTTGACTTGTCCGTTCGAGGTAAAATTTCTGATATAGTAATGCTTGTTTGAGGGGAGTCCTGATTTATCTGGATTCCCAAGTTGATAATTCCGTGTGCTATTTGATCTGGCGAGGCACTTTTATTTAGATCGTTTGTTCCAACATGGAGAATTATGTTCTCGGGTTCTTTTCGAACTACAGGTTTCAAGTAGTCTTCCATATCAGTACAGTTGGCTCCTGCAAAACTTTTGACTACAACGTGATTATTGTCATCTGAAAGTCGCCAGCCTTGAAGATTTTTAATAATCGAGTCCCCGAGTACGGCAGTGACTTTTTCTTGGGTGACTGACTTTTATCGCTGTGTTGAGCATTTGAATTTTGCTTTGATGACTGCTGCTCGACCTGATTTATTTCATTATCTTTCTGAGATTTAGGCTTGGCTTTCACTTTACCAGACTTAGGTCTTTTTTGCGCTGTTGGGCAGACTTTGTTATCAGTATCAGGCTGGTCATCAGGAATAGGGATAGTTTCATCAGCTGTATGACTTAAGCAATTACCAACATCTCTCTCAGCTATTGAACTCGGTGATTTATCATTTGCATGGTTATTGTTATTAACTACAATGGGCGGATCTTGTTGTTTGAAGTGAGCTTCATGGGCTTGATGAAAATCCATATATAAGATCTTCAACGTCGTAGTTAAGCTAGCTTTTTCATGTTCGAGATCTTTAACTTTCGTATTCAAATCAGATAAAGCAAATTTGGCCGTATATAGGCTATCCTTTAAGGCTTCGTTTTCTACTTTAAGACTTGCGTTCTCTTGTCTTAATATATTCATACCTTCAACTTCATTGTTTAAGCAGTATTTTTTTAGATTGTTTAAATCATTAGCAATACTTAGCGTTTTGTCCAAAAATTTTGACTCCAGGGTTTTAAGTTGATTCTCGATGCTAGCAAAATTATCTTCATAGGACTTGTCATCATTATTAGATCGTACAGAATATTCGGTTTGGTTTTCGGTAGGTGCGGCAAGATGAACACTCGGTTTTTCTTTACCGTTATTAGTCGGCAGGGTCTGATGAATTTCAACAATGGCGGCTTGGTTTTCTTCGGCTTTCTTGCACAATGATTGAAGTGTCTGAGATAGTTCGCTTACCTCAGTCGAACTTCCAGATAACGTTATCCATTTGTTGGTCTTACCATGCCATTTTAGGACTAGTGTATCACTAGTAAATGTTTTGACTTCGCCACCAGGTGATAACCATCTTCCCGTAAGTTTTAAATCGCATGACACAAAAACCTTTAAATCAGTTATTGTGCTGTCCCAGTAGAACGTTTCACCATTGAACTTTAGGTGAGAGCAGAGATCTACTTCCATGATATTTCATTAAGTGAGGAAATCGCGGAGCTCAAAAATGCACGTCTGTACTCGTGTGTGTACTCTCCAGGTACTTTCAATAACGATTGTTTTACGCCCAATGAAATTTCAATAATGACTGTTTCACGCCGAATGAAATTTTTCAACAATGACTGTTTCACGCCGAATGAAATTCGAAAATCATAATATCGAATATTATAATAGCATAGCTGGACTTTATAAATGCAATTTCCATTGGCGTAATTGAATATATGAATTTTGGCGGATATCACACCTCATAAGATGGGGGTGGCTACTTTTGAATATTTACTTAATTAATGACATTTATAAAAAGCTTTGATGCTGTCAGGGCCGGTAATTCATTTACACCCATTTTGCGGAAGCCGGTATTTCCTACGCCTCCCTATAATCCGCCTGCCACGCAGGCTATGATGTACAATGCTATATATTCTAACGGAAAATTTATATTTATCCCTGAGCCAAGCGATAAATATATATTAATATTAACAACATCAATTTCAATTTTCAAAATATTATCATCTGAAGGCTAAATAGAGGAGATACATCTTTCTTGTGTACTTCTAAGGTTAATTCAAAGGCTAAAATAAGCATGCGCATATATAGCGAAGTTTGTTTACACAAATTGACAGGTAAACATGTAAGTCATTTTGGCTACTGACTTAGTTTGTATTTGTTTATTATCTGCGGGAGGCCACTCCCACATTAAACATCTATTAGCAAAATGGCTTCCGTTAGAAGTTAGACGTTTTCAAATAAGTCAAATTTCTGCTGTTGTTGCAACAAATAGTCACTCTGTTCTGTTTAAATCTAATGCAAATTTATATAAAATTCGATCAAAACTCTTTCAAATGTATGAAATTATATATCAAAATAGCTAAAATATTAAGAATTTGAAAGAAATTAAAATGTAAAAGTCTGAATATGAAGTCAATATACACGAAGCAACCCTGACCCTGTTTGAATTTGTCTGACTTGTGTGGTATTCTATCTATTCCTTAGGATCAAGTTTTGCAGTGATGTTGTCGAACAATACCAGAGCTATGTATAATCATACAAATCAAACAGAGACGGGTAGTGATTCGATGAAATTAGAAGCATTTCGGGACCAACTTGATTTAGCAGAGAAAATTATACTAATTATTTTCGCCGTTTGTACCATTTTGGGGAACACTTTGGTTTTGATTGCGACCTGGAGAGAAAGACGTCTTCATCAACCAAATAAATATTTTATTGCCTGTCTGGCTGCTGCTGATCTTCTGGTTGGTATGATTGTAGAACCATTGAAGGTGTATTACTCAAGTCTAAATGATGAATCGGCAAAGGCGATGTCTATTCATCTATGCCGTTTTATCGTGTGGACAGATACATTTGCGTTAACAGCATCTATCTATACACTGACATTTATCAGTTTTGACCGATTTTTTAAAATCAGAAAACCACTTCAATATAAATCAAGAATGACAACTTCCAAATCAGTTAAAATTATCTTTACCATTTGCTTGATTTCAACTGCCTTTGCCACCTACGCCGCAACGCCAGATTCTGGAAGCAACTATGGACTTGTCTGCAGTCCCGCCAATTTTGGTGAAATTAAAGGCTACCGATACTATACTTTCCTGGCAGTAAGTGCGTTTTTTCTACCGACCGTGGTTATGCTGGTTATGTACGCTCTCGTTTTTGTTATTGTTTATAAACGACAAAAAATGCTGAGAAATGGTGAACTGGGTCAAACATGCAATGATCAGAACCAACGAAGTGCCTTTCTTCAAGATCTAAAGACCATCCGAATGTTATTGGTCGTCGTAGGAGTGTTTATACTTTGTTGGGGTCCTGAATTTATTTTTCTGTTGTTCTTGTACAACTATCCAGTTCTTAATGATCATGAGGACCGGTCATTAAGTTACTGGTATCTGTTCTTTGCAGGTGCAACGCTAGCTTTCACACTCCCATTCTTTAACAGTTTATGCAATCCAATAATTTATGCCTGTCTGGACCAAACGTACGGAGCGGCTTTCAAAAATCTGTTTCGGCAAATGATGTGTCGACCAAGCCCACGAAGACGACAAGTACCTGTGGCAATAGAGTTACCTCCGCTAAGAACTAGGCAAACTAACATTCATTAATATGCGAATTCATATATTTACTGAATCTTGGTGTCCGAAAAACGTTATATAGGTCCTTGCCCAAAGGAGAAATTCGCTTATTAAATGTGCTTATATAAAAGCCTGAGCTCGTGGTTTTATTCACTTAAGATTAAAAAATTTCAATCTGTTATTTTATTTTATAGTAGCCAAATTAAATTTTTGTCTGCATGCTGCTACAAATACGATTTTTAAAGAATGAGTCTCAGAGTAATGCTTTGCGCGCTTGGTTGCGGCTTGTCGGCCATTTTAGGGTGCCCGAAAAATGGCGACTTTCGTATATTAGGAGTTGTGCGACTAAATCCTCGAATATCCGAACAACTTTCATCATAAATTATTCATTATCCTGAATTTATGGGCTGTGAATATATGGCTTGACGTGCTGTTAAGTATTTCATAATATTTATTTGTAATAAACGACAAATTAAAGTCCATAGTGTGACGGTGTCTTCGACTGGTGCATCGCCGCCAAAGCGTGGAAGGCCAAGAAATGAGAAAGGATTTGTGCGTATAAAATTAAAGAAGGACGTACATGAGATGTGGATTACCAGAAAAGATTCTATTTGATCTCAACGAGACACATCGTGATTTTGCACGGCACTTGCTTCTAAATTTTGGCGAAGACGAGCCTTTGCAATCAATGGAATCTCCAGGCGCGATGGTAAATACTACATAATTATTTGTTATCAATGCAATAAATTTCTTTATATTTTAAAATTATTCGTTATCTACGTCCCATAAGATCATATATTTTGTATATTACACTTTAGATCGACCCTTGCCAAATGTTCTGTCCTCAACACCTGTTAGTAACTTAGTGTAAATGGCAAACCAGACCGAAATTTGTGTTTGTCACCCCTTTGAAAACAATACTGAGAACGGAAGAAATACAGTAGATATTATCCTTTATATATGTTTAAATGCTTTAATAGTAGTGCCTTGTTGCCTAACATAATGTGTTCTTCCTTGAATAACAGAGTAAGCAAATATAAGGGGCTGTTTATATGGAAGCCGGGCTGGCCGGATGCAGGATGAATGTATCTGAGAAACTTTCATAACTGCTTGTCAGGAAAATTTGTTCTTTTAACATTGTTTTGACAGTTGTTAAAAATAGCTTGCATCGGAATCTTTGAACTTTCATCCTGCAACCGCGCCAGCCCATTTGTTTGTGTTTAGATGGAGAAATCTTTATTCTGGTTACTGGTTAGTGACATCTCACCTCTTTCAAATGGTAATTTCTACTATAAAAATAACTACTCAGTGAGATCTCCTTTACCAGGCTGTCTCTTGACTAAGAGAGCCAGTGACCTAGGCCGGCTTCCATACAAAATCTTCTGTTATATAGCAACTGTTATATCTTATCTATTTTGTTTTTTATTATTAAATTCACATGCTATTACATATATATCCTCAACATCAATATTTCGCAACCAAAATAACATATGTCATCAACGAATGCCTGTCGTTTGTTTGTCGTTTGAGAGTGATAGTTAATTATTAATGGTTTTCACAATTTAGTGTCTTAATAAGTAGCAGCATCTTTTGAGTTTTGATGGGAAATCAAATAGTATGCAATGAGCCATCCGATAAAAAATCCACACTTCCCAACACTTTCCCATTCCCCTGTTGGGATGTTCTAGTACATTTTATTATCCAAAAAAGATTCCTCATTTCCTATCCTCTACTGGATTCTAAAAATTTCCTTTTACCTTTTTCCAAATATTTATTTACTTTTAGACCTTTTATTAATAGTTTCTGTGATTCAAGTGAATGTGAGAGTGGATCTGAAGATGACCAGTGCATTTATGATGTTCAAGGGTAAGAGAGAACTATCAGATCACTTGTAACATCTTCATTGACATCCACTTTCTAGTTTCTACTGTACTGATTGTGAACATGACCCATTTCCCATATTTATAGTAACAAAGAAAACCTCTCCATTTGGTATCATGTACAGTACTCTTTTCAACTATTTGTTTGTTAGATGTTCAAATATTGTCTGTTTTATAGATTTGCAGAAGAGTATGATCCTGAAGCAACACTAAGGAGAATTTCGAACTTATATCACAATATAAGGAGAATTTAGATGTTTCGAGCGAAGGCTCCTTGTCTGGAGTTACTAGCGGGGTCCGTGAAAATTACATGAGCTTTTATACTAAGAATATAAAAGCGATCACATGACAAAAAATAAACCAATCAGATGGATTTCTTCAAAACAAAGTATAAACAAAAAAAAATTAAATCACATTACAGAATATATTTATAGAATTATACAGAAAACTATGTCAGCAAATACAACAAAATATATGTAAATATAGAATAAGATGCTAACTTTGAAGGACGGGGGGAGGGGGGTGGTTTTGATAAAGCACAAAATTTGGTAAATGCGAAATATAGTAATTAATCTAATCAATGTGCATGTGTTTCTTTGTAATGAAATGGGGTTGGGTTTACTAGACTGGGGTAAACTTACAGTTGTACATTTCTCCTGAAAAGGAGCCTATTAGAGAGGGGACATATTTCAAAAGGGGGCGAAATGGAGGACCCGCAAAAAATGATTGCAAATATTACAAAAACTTTATGATAATATCATTATAAGAATCATTTTAGTTGTAAATTTTGGATACGTAATGGTATAGATAATTTAAACTACATCATGCTCTCTAAAATCCCATGTAGACGCCATCATTCGCCGGGTAGAAGTGTCTTAATGCCAGCACAACACACGATGGGCACACCTTTCGGTTCCCTCTTCCTAATTTCCTATACCGCCATAAAATGTACTGGCGATATGCTGCCTTTCTAAAGCTGTTTGTTGAATAGTCTGGCTATCACACCTCGCCCGGATAGCCATGACCAATATATCCCGGTCTGTGCATGTGTTTTGGAATGTCACAAATGATGTGACACATGTGATTTTTTTGCAACACTTATTTTCCTCCAGTTGACATTGGTTGACATGCCCCACATGTACACCATGGCGGCCTTGTCCCTGGAAGAACTGGGGGGTTTCCACCAAATTGCACCAAATTTTTGGCATAATCAAGTCCGTATCCGTTTCGCCAACTGCCAATGAATTCCTAAAAATATTAAGTTCCTGTAAATAATGCTTTCCAAGTTTCGTGTATCAGTATTACCAGTGCTGTAAGTAATTTCGTTAAAAGTAACTAATTACAAGTAATCGTTACATTTTTCAGTAACGGTAACGGTAACTTGTTACATTTTGAGAACATGTAACTGTAACGGTAACTAGTTACAAAAAATGCCATAAAATTGAAACGATTACAAGTTATTTT